TGTGTAGTTTATCTTGGGCACCAAATTGATGCGTTTGAGCGCACTCGGATTTTGAATAAGAGAGCCCGGGGGACGATGATGGTCCCTCCGGATAATCATATCTACAGTGTCTACTTGATCTCGGGGAGGTGGAGGTTCGACTCCTTCCATGGGCGTGGGTATCCATCAGTGCTGTTAAAATTTTTCTTTGTGTGCACATGCAGTAGTAGGTTAAACTTGGGGGACAATTACGAGCAGAGGAGACAGATTGGGCATGAGTAGTCTGAGAAAGACCGGAGTTCAAGATGTATAGACACAGTTGTGTCTTGAGCCCCAAACTCGTGCGTATCAGAGGCGCTTGGTTGCTGCATACAAGCCTGTGTAGCCCATGGTGGGTCGCTCCGTCTGAATTATATATCTACTCGAATTTCGGGGAGGTGGAGGTTCGATTCCTTCCATGGGCGTGGATATCGATTATTGGTCTTTTATTTTATTTCTTGGCGTGCGTAGTCCATGACTGGGGGAATTGTGATGTTGAATGATACGTGCGACGAGTGCGAGTACAAGACCAGAGCTCAAGATACATCGATACAAATTAGATGTGGAATGTGGAGATCTTGGCCCTAAATCCGTGCATGGATTAAGGTAGTGGTTGCAGCATACAAGCCTGTGTAGACCATGGTGGGTCGCCCCGTCTGAATTGAAAGGTACAATCTAAATCTCGGGGAGGTGGACGTTCGATTCCTTCCTGGGCGTCGATATCCTTTACCTGTCTTTTTTTCTTCTTTTTGCGTGCATGATCGACTGGTGGTAGGTAGGTAGGTAGGTAGTATTACACGGCCGGTCCCGCTTAGGAACGCCGGTTTCCAGGAATTATCTAACATACATGCGCTAATGTATATTTTCGTCCCTGGACCTCCCAATACCCCCGTAGCCGAGCTCACGGACGCAATCTCTCGACTCGCCGCGGTAGAGCTAAAGGAATAAAAGAAAGCAAATCAGTACACAAGACGGGGGACCTGAATCAGATCAAGCATCATTCAAACGATACACGGGGATGGCGTAAAATATTTCCAGGACATTGTATGCAAATTTCGCAACCAGTGCAATGGTGGGTCTCGAGTATATCATGGCTTTCAGAAAAGCTGTCTCTGAATTTTCTGCCATGCAGCGTCGAAGGTCTGGTGCATGCTGGAACAATTGAGCCAGAAACGTGTCTCGTAGTTCAACCAGTACATCCGACGACGTACAAGTGACCAGAGCGTGTTCTGGATTCTCAACAGCCTGCTTACACAGCCTACAAAGCCTATCTGCCCAGGGTACCGGTTGATATGCATGATCCACATAACGCAAAATCTCTACGGCCAATAGATGAGTGGACAGCAATATTGAGGTCAAGGCCTCGCGATGCTTCTGAGTTTTCACCATTGATAAGTAGTGTCGCATTTTGGATACTATTTGCGTCGGGGGCTTGTCTTTCCGCGGTTCAATCCGTCCGTGAATTAAATAGAGCTTTTCTGATGAGTCGATTGCATCCTGTAGCCATTCCAGCATCAGCTTTTCCACGAGTTTAGCATAGTTCTCGACATATTCAATCGTAGTTGTGTCTGTTAGAACCATCTCGGGGCATTGGAAGGGCAGTCTCGAGGCAGCCTTGATCAGATCCTTGACCCAGGATTTTTTACCCCTCGCCGACAGTTGTAGTGAACTGTCAAGTGAAGCGCGGGCATATTCCCTTTTATCGAGTCCAAGAAAGTAGACCAGGTGTTTAAACACGAGTAGGAGGCGTCTAACTCGAAGTGGCATTATCCCAGTCTCCGTGAATAGTGGCGCAATCATAGAACGAGGATGCAAATTAAGCATCTGGCGGATGAAACTGATTTGAACTTTGCTCAATTGTTTGACATGTACATCTTCACAGTCCGGGGAGATTTCGCATCCGTGAGTGAGATGGCAGTCCACTCGAGCCATGTAGACCATCTCACTCACGGATGCGAAATCTCCCCGGACTGTGAAGATGTACATGTCAAACAATTGAGCAAAGTTCAAATCAGTTTCATCCGCCAGATGCTTAATTTGCATCCTCGTTCTATGATTGCGCCACTATTCACGGAGACTGGGATAATGCCACTTCGAGTTAGACGCCTCCTACTCGTGTTTAAACACCTGGTCTACTTTCTTGGACTCGATAAAAGGGAATATGCCCGCGCTTCACTTGACAGTTCACTACAACTGTCGGCGAGGGGTAAAAAATCCTGGGTCAAGGATCTGATCAAGGCTGCCTCGAGACTGCCCTTCCAATGCCCCGAGATGGTTCTAACAGACACAACTACGATTGAGTATGTCGAGAACTATGCTAAACTCGTGGAAAAGCTGATGCTGGAATGGCTACAGGATGCAATCGAAATTGTGATGTCAAATGATGCGTGCGAGTGCCAGTACAAAACAAGATTTCAAGATGCGTAGACACAAATCAAATGCGGTGGCGTGTGGATATCTGGGTCCAAAGTCCGTGCACGAATCAAGGTATTGGTTGCAGCATATGAGACCGTGTGGACCATGGCGCGTCGTTCCGGAGGAATGATCAAGCATCCATGGGTTTCGGGGAATTGGAGGTTCGAATCCTTCCACGGGCATTCGGAAGTGGATTTTGTTGTTTTATTTTCTGCGTGCACGGTCGGTAAGGTATTGAGACTGGGAGGGGGAAGAAGACGAGCGGAGGGGACGGATTGCCTTGAGACAGAACCAGAGTTCAAGATGCATAGACCCGAATTAAAGTCCGTGTCACAACCGTGTCATGTGGGGTTAGTTATCTTCGGTCAAAGATTCGTGCGTATCGAAGGCTCTTGAGGTTTCATAGAAGCCCGTGTGAACAATGGCGTGCCATCCGCAAAAAATGATCGTCAAGAACTCGACAAATTTTGCGGGAGCCAGGGGTTCAATTTCCCCCACGGGCGTTCAAGGAAAGTGATTCCTTTTATCCTTTCACGAGGTTCCTTTTTCTCTGTTCCTAATCCATTGAATTACCCCTGTTCCAACTCGGAGCCAGAACATTCTTGAACGCTCAGCTCAGCCCAAAGTTTGTCCGTGTTAGCGATCACTGGCGACGACGCGGTTGCACCGTCACACCCACCTTTCTCCTCCTCCTCCATGGCCGCGAGAATTGCGAGCTGAAGCAGCGGCAGTTCTACACGAACTGCATTCGAACACAGTGAGTAAAATCTCCTCTGCTTGTATTGAACGGTGTGCGCCTCCCGTTCGCCGTGCGCTGGGAGGGCGGCAAGCTCGGCGTCGGCGTGCCCTGGATTGGGCCTGGAAGAGGGGACTAGGGACGCTGGACAGCGAGCCACCCGCTCTATCTTTCGCTCTCTTCTACGCCACCTCCTGCGCTCCCGCCAGCGCAATCCCAACTCACTCTCCCCGAATCACTCGCGGATTCGCTCTCCGTCTCCATCTCGCAGTTCCTCCCCGAACGCGGGGATGCCACGTCTCGCGCTGACGCCCCCTCTCGTGTGGATACCACATCTCGCGCAGACTCCACCCCCGCCCCAGAGACCCCCAACTTCACCCCCGTGCTCGCAATGCTGCTCTACAATGTCCTCTACCTCGCCATCCCGCTCGCGGGCGACGTCCGCAACCTCTGGGCCGTGTGCTGTGCGCCCGAGCCCGGGTCACGCCACTGCCAGTGTGGTTACCCTAATAACACGAATACTGGGAGCTTCATCACCGCGCCAACCTCGCCGCTCGAGCGTTCTGAGAATCCTGAGGGATCCAATTCACTCCCCTCCTCGACGGCAGTGAGCCCGCTCTGATACTTGTCCCCCCCATGGCATCACCCTTGTCTTGGCCGTATCCGCGCGCGCGCGCTTCCCGTCAATGCGCCCACCTCACCCCTCTGGCGGCCTAACCAACATCACCTGGACCAGCGCCTCCATTCCGTGCGTTAGCCTCACCTCTGCCTCGTGTCCAGGCTAACTCCTCACGAAGCATCTTCTCCAGCGAGCTCACTCACCCCTTATTCAACGTCGCCCTCGCGAACCGACCCCATGACCAATAACCTCACACTCACCATCCCCTCCGTGCCCTTCGGCGCGGGCTACACCCTCCAGTTCGTCAACGTCACGGATATTAATTAGGTGTTCGCTACAAGCCCGAACTTCTCTATCGGCGCTGAGTCCAACTCGAGCGCGACCCTGACTTTGAGCGGGAGCGAGAGCACTGTCGGGCAGCGGGGGTGTGAGCAGCGGGTCGGCGTCCTCGGGGAGCGCGGGGGATGCGGGGTCAGCTACTCGGAGCGCCGGTGCTGATGCTTCGGGTGCATCGGGGAGCGGGAGCGCAAGTGGTTCGAAGGCGTCTTCGTGAGTGCTCTTCTCCTCAATCTCCTTTTATTCTCCTCGTCGTCTTCACTATTAGAACCGGCTCCGCCTCGGGCTCTGCGTCCGGCTCCGGCGGCTCCGCGTCTAGTTCCACCAGACCCAACGGCGCGATCCGCGCCTTGTCCTCGTCTGGGCCTGCCGCTGCGGCGGTTACTATCCTGTTTGCGCTCGCTGGTGCTACGTGCGTGTTATACGCACGGACTTCTTCTTAAGTACGCTGTTGCTCCGTTTTTATCTGGGACTGCGACTTTTGTCTACATCTATACGTATGTAGATGAACTTCGCGTCGAATGTGATTCTTTGAGTTGGTGGTCAATGTATGCCGGGAATAAGAATAAGACAGTAGCGAATACCCAACCTACATAACCCATTCCAGCTGGCCAGAATATAATCGTATCTCGAGTCTACTGCGCCTCTGGTTCCACTTTTCAGGATTACGACCCAGTGGCCGATGACTCGTACCCGCACCCTGTAAAATGTGTATGTTGGCGTCCTTCGCGGGAAGTCCTGGTTCGAATGCAGGCTGGGTCATAAGTGTCCAAGAGTGGACATCCTCGCGTTGCGATAACTCTATCATTTTCCTCCTCTGCCCAGTGCCTATTGCAAAACCAGATCTCGAATTCTGGTTCTCGTCTGTAGGATTACGACCCAGTGGCGGATGGTCCGCACCTGCACCCCATTGACGATTGTATCCACAGCGTTACTGCGGGAGTTCCTGGTTCCAATCCAGGCTGGGTCACGATGTCGTCTTCTGACTAATTTTTTTTTATCTCTCTGTGTGGTTTAAATTCCAGCGGGATGAGGGGAGAAGGGAGGGGGGTAGACGACACTGCGTTGATGACTCAGAGTGGATGTTAGCCATGAATGGTAACCTAACCAATTTTTTCGCTCTCTGCAATATCTATCCACAATGTAATCGAGTTCTGGTTCTACTCTACAGGATCGCGACCCAGTGGCGAATGGTTCGCACCTGCACCCCATAAAAGGTCACACAACTGCGAGTTGAAGACTTTTGAGAGTTGGACCAGCCCACATTACGAAGGAAGGTCAACATTCCTTACATGGATCACTATATGCCTGTGATGTACATGACAGTAAATACACTACATTGCGGGGAAGTGGAGGATGGATTCCTCCCGCAAGCACTTCGGTTTTCTCTTTTTTTTTTTTCTTTTTTTTGACCTGGAGAACAAGCTAAGATGATTTTGCTTCCTCGCGCAGAAAGCAGTGGGGGCGGTTATCTATGTACAAAGCTTCCTGAGAGGAGATGCCAGCCCGTGTGGACCATGGAACGTCTCCCTGTGTCAATAAAAACCAATCCTTCCGCGGGCGTAACAATAAACCAGGTGAATGGGCATGTAATTATCGGCGAGGTGCGGGTTCGATTCACCCTCCTCTTACTCCACATGAAACGCGATGAACCAAGCAATTTCTGAGGGTTAGGGCTCACTCCATGAAACGGCTTCTGCAAATAGGATGCTTGTTCCAACTTCCGCGGACAGCTAGGCGCTCTGACTCGCATGACTTTGGTGGTCGGTCTCACGCTCTACAGCTTCGCTAGTTGGACATAACGTCGCAGAGAAACTGAAGTTGGGAACAAAATAATTCTGGACGAAATGTGTGCGCCACCAGTTCCAACTTCCACCCAGAACTGTCGTACCGCACAGCCAAGGATACTATCACATTCTCCTAACTCCGAATACGAGCAACAGTAAACCTCGAGGAGGTTGCAGATGGAAGGCAGCATGTATAACTAGTGAACAACTTTCAACAAGATTGTCTTGAGATGGCTGCAACCAGGCACGCACTGCTGTCAAAGAGCGTGAGCGCAAACTTTGATACGAATCGCTGTGATAAGCCCAGAGTGATAAATTAACCAATGCGTCTCACGCTCTACAGCTTTGCTCCTTGGATACGACCGCCATGAGTGCCGCATCGACAAGCACCTCTAAAGTTCAGGGAGGACCTGGTCAGTGATATGTTCTTCATCCAGTTCCACATACACTTGCTTAGGTTCTTTCCCCCCAGACCAGGATGAATTCGCAGGCGCTAAGCTGTGGGCTGTGTACATCGCCGAAGCGGAAAACTACGACAAAGCCCTGGTCGAGAGCTGGAAGTCTGACATGGAGGGACTGCTCATCTTTGTGCGTGCCAGTAAACTCATGCGTGGCTCTGAACTCACCATACAGCCAGGCGGGTCTTTTCTCCGCGAGCTTGACCGCATTCCTCATCGAGAGCTACAAAACTTTGAATGCGGATCAAGGAACGATCACCATCGCAGTTTTAGCTCAGATTTCTCTTCAGCTCGATGCCCGCTCGAATGCATCCGCCGTAAACATCTCGTCGTTAGAGGCATACACCCCTACTCCGGCCTCCCTGGCCTGCAACACTCTGTGGTTCCTCAGTCTCTGGGCGAGCCTCTCGTGCGCTCTCATAGCCACACTGGTGCAGCAGTGGGCCAGGGACTTCACGCAGAGAACTGAGATGCGGCCCTCCCCGATAGTTCGCGCTCGCATCTTCTCTTATCTTTATTTCGGCCTTCGCTGATTTGGCATGCACAAAGTGGTCGAGTTCATCCCCCTCCTTCTTCACGTGTCGCTCCTCCTCTTTTTCGCTGGCCTCGTGGCTTTCCTTCACCCGGTCAACAGAGCGCTTATGATCATGACGGCCATACTGCTCGGCGTAATCGCCACCACCTACGCCTACCTGACGGTGCTCCCAATATTCTCATCCGACTCACCGTACCGAACGGCACTTTCCAACGTCGTATGGGGATCGTTCCGACGTTTTTCTGTCCTACTTCATTCCTCCCGCCCAACATGCTTTTCTGACGAGGAATCCATCCCGCACCACGGATCTCCCGTTCCAACGAAAACCATACCTACTATGGTTGAAATAATGACTCGTGACGCCGTCCAAAAATCAACCAAACGCGACGAACGAGATGCCCGGGCAATCGTCTGGACCGTCCAGTCTCTGACAGACGATAACGAACTTGAACCATTCGTGGAAGCTCTTCCAGATCTTATATGGGGACCCACTGGAAGGCGAACAGCGCACGACGACATGATCAAACTGCTGCTCGACACACGCGATCTTCGACTGGTATCCAGAATTGAAGGGCTTCTGTACAGCTGCGATACCGGTCTTCTTCCCCCAGGCCATGAGGTGCATCGCCGTATTTTCTGCATTAAGGCGTTGTGGGCGATTGGCTATTTCTGTGCATTGAATAACTCGATGCGCAATTCCTTCCCCGTGTTTGACCCGACAATTCTACGATCCCGGTTGGCGGATACCGCTCTGGTGAAGGCACATTTGACATCTGCCTACTCGGTCATTCGTTGGAATGGGTTTTGTTCGCTATCTGTGCTCATCCGAGAGGTTATATCCGTGTTGGAGAATGCAGGCAATTCCAATTCCACCCGTCTTCAAGATCCTCGCGTGCTCCTTCAAACGGCTGAATGTGAAGCGGAACGGCAGGGATATACCGACTTGAGCGGTGTTCTCTCAAATCTTATAACCCTCTATCCCGTCGATACACCAGTGCTGGTCCAACGAGCCCGAGATGCATTAACAACATTCGATCACACCGCATACGATATCCTGACCGAATACCTGTGCAACTGCGTCACGCTCGAAGACGAACCTTATGAATTTGATGGTACCTGCCGGATAATGGTCGAGGGCTTTCCGGTGCCGCCAACGTCACAGCTTGAAATTAAGCTAAGAACCTCGTTTAGCAACATCATCGACCAGCACTGGGCTAAATTGAGAGCACATTGGGAACCCCACCACATTGACAATATCGTTGGCACGATACTGAACCTCCTTCCGGAGTCCTTCGATGCTGAATTTGCGCGCGATGTCGTTCTGTATCTGGACTGTTGATACACCCCAAGCGAGGCACTGTCCCGAGGATTGGGACGATGCAATCCCAAATTCATAGGTTCTCTGCTGACAGAATATCTCGCCTCCAATCCAAGGAATCTTATGCACGAAACAGTAGCGGAGATTTTCTGGCTCGCTGTGGATCCGAGTCCGTCTGTATTGGCCCACTTCGACGAGGAAACAATTGCTGTTGTTTCTGCCGCACCCCATTCATTTATCTCCTTATGTGCCGTTGTAGTCCTCAAAACGCGCATCTTGATGGCCGGAGCTGAACTCCCACCAGACGAACTTGATGCCCTCATGGACAGGGTGCAGATCCCTAATCCTTACACTGATGCATCCGCATCGGACACGACAACAAGATGGAAGGAGTGCTTTTTCGTGATGTTGATGGATTTTCTGGAACACATGGAGGAAGTATCAATGTCGGCCGATTGGAATCAGCGCCGGGCGTTTGAGACCTTCAACTTTCTGGTCTGGGTACGTCCCTGGGACCGGGTCTCCCAATCACTGCAGCGCCGATTTGCCACTTGGTTGCTCAAAAACGTGAATATTAAATTCTTGGTCTCGCACACGGGCTTGATCAACGCGATCATATGGGATAACAAGGCTGTATTGGAGTCATTGGATGATCACATTGCGCGGACGATAGTCTGCGAGGCGTTGAACAAGTGTATGGTGATTGTCTCCGACAATCAACCTGGCGATGTCATGCTATATAACAGAATCCTCTCATTTCTAGTTCTGCTCAATCCCCTGCCCTCGGAACACATTCCAATCGACCCGAGCGGACCTACAGCGCTAATTACTACTACCGCGTCCTCGGGGTCCCATCCATCCGAGGCGCAATCATAGGGGATTTCCGAACCGACGTCCATATCTTACCTAGGTGGTCCATCTCAAAGTCGAATCCCGGCTTTAAACTTCGTTGAATGCTAGACCGTTGAATCGCCTCCAGGAATGATGACGGATTTCACGATTTCAATTTGCACATGAGTACACGGATCCTTAGAAGTAGCTATGAATGTACAACCTTTTCGCCCAAAGCACACTTGCGATTACCTAGCGCGAGAAATATGACTTTTTTTTTGGGGGGGGGGTAAGAGTGATCATGTTCGGAGGTGATTTTCCACGGGTTGTGCTGGAATGCCACGTATGCAAGTTCCTGGCTATAAGGCTTCTCTGGAACCGGAGGGGTGCCGATGGTGACCCCCCCGTATGAATTATTAAATTCTACTGTTCGATTCTTTCCGTGGGCGTAGGTGTCCATTAGTGCTGTTAATTTTTTTCTTTGTCTCCATAGCCGGAAGCAAGTCAAACTTGGGTGCACAATTACGAGCAGAGGAGACAGATTGGGCATCAGTAGTCTGAGAAAGACCGGAGTTCAAGATGCATAGACACAGCCGTGTCTTGGGCCCCAAACTCGTGCGTATCAGAGGCGCTTGGCTGCTGCATACAAGCCTGTGTAGACCATGGTGGGTCGCCCCGTCTGAATCATATCTAGGTCTACTTGAATTTCGGGGAGGTGGAGGTTCGATTCCTTCCATGGGCGTAAGCTTCCGTGTTTCTCATTTATTTTATTTTATTGCGTGCATGATCGACTGGTGGAATTGCGATGTTAAATGATAAGAGCGACGAGTGCGAGTACAAGACCAGAGTTCCACTTGCATTAATAGAGACAATCAGATTCCGCGTGTCGTGGAGTTCTCTTGATTCAGAAATTCGTGCATGAATTAAGGTATTTGGCTACTAAGGAGCCCGTGTGGACTATGGCGCGTCGCCCCGGGGGAATCAATGATGTCGTCGGAGTTTTCGGGGAGTTGGAGGTTCGAGTCCTTCCACGGGCATTCA